TCTGTTGGAATTAATTAGATGGTTGTATAGCTGTTACTTGCTAATTACTGTGATCTTGTGAGTGACAGGATGCAGGAAGAGAGAGATTATTGTCCAGCCTCTTGATTAAAAAAAATCATAATGTACACGGATACATATTTTTACAGTAAACACAGTATTACATAAAAATAACAGATAAATCATTTATTATAAACACTGCAATATTCCATAAAAATAATGATGTTCATGGATAAATCATTTGTTATAAACACTGCAATATTCCATAAAAACAATGATGTTCATGGATAAATCATTTGTTATAAACACTGCAATATTCCATAAAAATAATGATGTTCATGGATAAATCATTTGTTATAAACACTGCAATATTCCATAAAAATAATGATGTTCATGGATAAATCGTTTATTATAAACATTCCATTTCATAGCGACTTTAGTAGAGATTTGAGCATCAGATAAGATCAAATGAGAAAATAAGAAGTAAAATGAAAAGAATTAAAAGAATTTTCTCCCAGTTTGAAATGGCTTTGTAATCACGGTGACCTGACAACACTGTTTCTATGATTCCCTGCACATTGCCACGACTGAAAGTAGGTTGTAAAGAAATGACTCCCACCATTGCGCCGTTCCGTTTAGAGATCAATCTGCCATGTTTGGGGGACGCATACTTCAGATGCAAAGCTTTTCTAGCTGTGGCATTGTGAGGATGTCTGTGTCTGACCCTCGTGAGAGGCTGTTACTGTGTTGTGATTAAATCGGATAACCTCTATCAGCTTTATGGTCATGCTACAATGAAGTGGAGGATGAGGTCAGAAGTCAGTGTGTGTTGCTAAAGAAGTGCTGGATCTTCATCATGCTCTCAAAGCTATGATTACAGGCTATTTCAAAGGCCATCCTGAAAACGATATACTTTCTAGCCTCTCGGGGACACAACTGGCTCTTTATGGTGTGCTGAACACCAGATCTAAAATGTGTAAATATAAAATGAATCCCATTGCTGCCTACACATATATAACCGTGTGGTATTAAAGTCACCGGAGGTGATTCTTTATGTGGCCCGTGTATGTTTGTTATCCTGCAAGCTACAAGCATTCAAATCAACATCCAAGTTTACAAAGGGCCATATAGAACATGCATGACATGATTCATTACAGACGTGAATAATAGCTCTATTTGAGCATACGCTTGTAAAGACTGAATGTCGCGGGAATATTTCTGCCGTGCCTAGTTGGAGGCCTGCTGTGTTGATTTGTTTTCTCCAGCATCGGCAGCATTAGTGGATTCCCTCTTCTGTCTCAAAGCCTCAAGTGGGCACAAATACACACACAGATACAGGATTACCGTCCCTCAGCACAAAGACTGCTACTGTAGCCTGCACTCAACAGATAAACCAGCACAATGCCTCTAATAGGTCCCAGGAAGACTCCATATCCAATGTTTCAGACAAACCTATTTGTTTTCATGAAGGATAAAACGTAAATGAGCGGTGTCAGGCTGGGTTACGGTATTGTCGGATGTGAAAGGTATTGTAAATGTGGGATTGAGTGATAATGCTCGTATTCAAACCAGCCAATGGTCCTAGACATCTGAGATCGTTGGGACTCTTTAGATTTAATGACTGGGAATTATCCTTTCACTGTTTCTTCGGTGGGCGCAGTCGTCCCTTGAAGATTTCTGGGGTGTTTTTCTAGAGTTTTCCAAATTTGATTTGTTTTTTGGGGTTTTGGAGGAGGGATGCTTTTGTCCTAAGCATTCTCACTGCAGCTTCTGCTGGAGATTAAGGATTGAACGTCTCAGTGGGACGTCGCTGTGCTGTTTAATTACAAACGCACTATTCATAAAGCTGTTTCTGTTCATGTGCTTTCTATGGTTTTTAATGACTCGCCAAATATAATTCTTCTATTTCAACTTTTTATTAAAAAAATTACTCTGATAATTGTTCGATTATAAAGTATATTAGAGACTATATAGATCTGACTATGTGGGACTATAGTTTGACTTAATCCATTTTCTTTTCATGACACATTATAGTACAGAATAGCTTTTTGGGCATTATCCTGAACATTGTATAAGCATTCATTTTACGTGTTATTGAATGGAAGAGAGGCTCTCGAGAGCGCGTGTAAATGTCACATTTAGATTTTCCAGGCAAAAATGAGTCCTTCACATAAAAATCAGGACGGACAACAAGTCAAGGAAGGTCTCTTTTCATTAAGTTTCGTTACAAGCTTTTCACACATTAGATCACAGCTGTTTTTGATTAATTCATGGAAATTGTCCCTTTAAAAAATCTTACCGACCCCAAAGTGTTTATATATCGCATGAAAAAAGGAATCTTATTTTTAGGACCATTATGATTTCTGAGCTCACTCTACCTCCAAATTCTCATTACCACAATGCAAAAAGTCTCATTCTCAGTATTGTATTCTCATTAGTGTAATGTGAAAAAACAATGAATTATTATTTACATTTTTTACAAGCATTCTGGTAATAAAAGAGAAAATAATTGGGATGTGTTGTCACTACAGAAAAAAAACAAATCCTGATGGCTCTTAATATTTATGTTCTTTGATTCACCCAGTAACACTAATAAAAGCTACTGATATATCACTGCTATGTCAGTTTATGTTTTAACATATTTATGTTTTAGTAAAGAAAAGAGGTCGGTCTGACTGACCCAGATAAATGACAACCAGCTCACATTCTCTCCTCCTCTTTTCTGCATCTGTCCCCATCTCCAAAAGACTTCCAGCCTATATCCCTTGTATTTTCTTTGGAGGACTTCAAGGAGCACACAGCAGGCTAGACGTGACTTCATGGGGATCTACACTGATAAAATCAACTTGAAGCAATGTCTTTTCTATATCTTGGGGGATTTATAGAGACAGCTTGTTATCCAAATGATGCATGTACATGCTGTCAATGCACGTCTCTAAACACGATCAGGTCGTGGCGTGTTTGTGCAGTCTGCCCCCTAGAGACTCACAATAAAGCGGCCATGTGTTCTGATTACACCCAGGCCCTCATATTTACACAGTCTGGAGGGATTGAATTGTCCCGAGCACATTAATAATGCATATTGATGAATCAGTCTAGTTAGTGTGCTCTTGAAACCTCTGGTGATTCTGGGCAAAACCTTTGTTGCTTTGGGAATAAGCACCTCTGTCTTTAACCTTGTCTTCACACAGTCCCCGATGTTTGTCCTCTGCGGATGGCAGCGCTCCATAGTTAATAGTGAAAGTAATTTTCCTGACAGTGCAGAGATCTATGGGATGACAGCATGTGTCCATCAAAGCTGTCCTAACTCATGGCCCCCTGATAGATGCATGAAATGATGGAGGAGACGCTGGGCAACACATCAGAGTGAAGTGAGACAACACAGTGACACTCAATGACCATCACCCATGATTCAAACCACTCTCTATGTATGGCGTCCCTCAATCTGATGTTTGATCTAACATCTGTTTCACCACACACTTGAGCAAATCTAGTGAAATGCTTGTTTGACCCATATCATATTCATATTTGGTCCAGCTCATCAAAGGAGATGCTTCTTGCATTGTGTGTTACATATTGCTGTATAATGCAAGACTCAATATTTTTATTATTCACAGACAGTTAAAAACTGTTAAAAACTTGCAGTGAAATATCAACCTTGTGAGTTATTTAGACTGTGTATTAAATATATAAAAAGCTTAGTGGATAAAATGGATGAAATAATGGTATACACCTCACAATAATGTTTAATTTGTTAAAGTTGGCATGAAACAGAAGTTGCGATAGCCTTTTCTTCCATATTATCCAAGTGAAACGGTAGGGTGGGACTTCATTTTGTGCTGGGTGTGTGTGTGTAAAGCAGATTTACGAACATTAATCTGGGTTTACTTTAATTATGCTCAATCTGTTCACTAAAGGATTTACCAGGACTTTTGTGCACAGCTGTCAATATTTTTCCGTTTTACTTTTTTTTTCTTTTTCGGGTGGTGATTAGTCTTACATGCTGTTTAAGTAGCTGTATATTTAAGCCACTAATTAATGTTTTACAAAAAACAAAACAGAGAGCGAGAGAGAGAAATCCACAAAAAAAGCCTTTTATCTAATAAATGTTATGCAGGCTACATATATTTAGAATATTTTTGCCAAACAAAAATAGCACTACAGATCTTTTATTAATGTTATTGCAATAAAGACTTGTGACCCTGCTCAGACCCTGACGTGAAGCTAAGCATTTTTCCACGTCAAAGACTTTTTTAATAAATATGAACGTTGGCGTGGATTTTAGCTTTATAAAAGGCCCCCTGTCACAATATAGAAGATCATAATTATGCAAAAGTCATATGAGCCTCCAGTCCTGATTAAGTCAAAAAGCTCAATTCTGCCCTCTATTGGTCCAGCTATTCACTCTACTGTGACACAGTGATTGTAATTTATTCTTTTTTCAAAATGGAAGTATTAATCCATAAATGGAAATAAATAATTCTCCATTCAGAAAGGGTTTATTTTACAGCAAAGGTAATAACATTGTTTTTTTTTAAAGATTTGTTGTATAATATGTATCATATTATAGAGCAGTCACTGGTTCTCAACCTTTTTGACTCAACACAATTTTCAAAAGCCTCTCATTAGGTGAAATATTTCCTGCAATATTTCTATGATTATGACAAAAATGCTTGTTTTGTTTTATGAAAAGAAATTCTGGACACAGAAACAAAAGTTATTGAGGGAACAATATTATATATATATTTCTTTATTTTAGTTTTAAGTTCTATTTATTTTAATTTATTAGTAATATTAATTGCATGAATAATAATATATTAATTTGAATAATTTTAAGTCACCTAGTTGAAAACCACTGATTACAACGAGTCCCATAATGTCAGTATTGGTGACAAATCCATCGTGTCTTATTGACCATCTTGCCTGTAGCTTTATTTTCGGGTTCACTACAGTTGATCCATGAGCTTTTCTACAAAAGCAAATATTCATTCATTAAAACATCCTGTTGTGCTTTAAATATTTTATTTTACACAAAAAGTTATGTTGATACAGAGACATTCAGTTTACATGACTACAACCTTGATTGTATGAACACATTAGTCATTAGTTAGACCACAATCCCTCCGTGGCACAAAAGTGCAGTCAGTATATAAATACCAGACAGACTTAAGAGTGTAAAAATCTACAAGATTTCCAAGAAAAAAAAACAACAACATGGTAGCACTTCCACTCAGGTACAAAGTATCCTGACTTTATGCTGTATCATTTTCTTCAACCACAGGGAAGTTTGGGGTATTTCAAATAGAGTCTGTCCACTCTATTCTCTTTTTTCCTTCAAGGTTGCATGCGAATGGCTCCGTCCAAGCGTATCACTTCGCCGTTGATCATGGGGTTTTCTGCTATTGCAGTCACAAGGTGCGCGAACTCAGCTGGATCTCCCAGACGTGACGGGAAGGGCACCTGCCTGGCCAGGAAGCTCTGCACTTTCTCAGGCAATCCTGCTAGAAGTGGTGTTGCGAACAGACCTGTAGGGAAAGAAGAGGAAAAATGGCAAAGATGATGTAATAGAAAAGGTAACAAAAAGGCATAAGAATGAATTAACTGAGTTAAAAGTATAAGACTAACAGATGGAACATGATGAAGACATCATTCTGTTTAGAGACAAAATGTGTTTCGGGGATACTGACCTGGAGCGATGGTGACCACGCGGATCCCCATTGGTGCAAGGTCTCGAGCAATAGGAAGTGTCATTCCCACAATCCCACCCTTAGAGGCGGAGTATGCAGCCTGACCCACCTTTAAAAGTCAACAAAACACCTTACAAAACATGTAGTGCTGCAATGTTATACATCTGTAAGATTGACAAGTTCCAAAGTAGGGGTCAGTAAGATGTCTCATACTCACCAAAGCTACATTTATTTGATCAAAAATACTGTAAAAACTGTAATATTGTGGAAATATATTAAAATAGAAAACTGTTATTTTAAATTGAAATTATATAGTAAAATGTAATTTATCACTGTGATGCAAAGCTGAATTTATAGCATCATTACTCCAGTCTCCAATGATCCTTCAAATTCTAATATGCTGATCATTCTGATATGCATATTATCAGTGTTATCAGCTACTTCAAATTTTTGTGGAAACATTGATAAATTATTTTAGGATTCTTTGATGAATAGAAAGTTCAAAAGAACAGCATTTATTTTAAATAGAAATCGTCTGTACCAATATAAATGTATTTACTGTCACTTTCACTGTCCTTGCTGAATAAGAGTATTTATTCATTTAAAACATAAAAATCTTACAGACCCCAAACTTCTGGACGTTAGTATATGGCTGTTATACCTGCCCATCATAAGCAGCAACACTGGCTGTGTTGATGATGCAGCCTCTGTGTCCGTCTGCATCAGGCTCATTTTTTCCCATCTCCCCTACAGCTAGTCTGATTACATTAAAAGTCCCAGCGATGTTCACCTTTTATAGATCAAATATATATAATTCAGCCAATAACATGGAAAAAAAGACTGATGCTTTAGAAATTACAGATATGACAAATGACAGTTGCTTTGGCATATTTAGAATAATCATCAGCTGCGCAAGTGTTATGATCCAGTGGCAAATATGAGTTTCAGGCAGCACTGTAAATACAGTGAGGCTTACAGTGATAACACGAATGAAATCCTCCAGGCTGTGGGGAAGGTCCTTTTTAAAGTTGTACGTTTTCACAGCCACAGCTATCCCAGCACAGTTCACCGCCAAGTCCACTTTGCCATACTTCTCCTTGGCCAAATCCACAGCCGATCTCACATCTGACTCCGACGTGACCTGAATTAAAAACAAACGCCAAATCAGAAGGAAAGAACATTTTCGAAATCTGCATTGTCTAAAAGAGCAAAAAGAGAGTGACCAATCCAAAAGGGTGGTTAATAATAAGTGTCACTCACATCAGTTGGTGCAAATGCACATCGCTCCCCAAGAGCAGCGGCCAGATTGTGTCCATCTGAGCTGGGCAGGTCCAGGATCACAGCGCTGGCCCCCTGACGGATGAGCCGCTCCACAGTTGCTCTCCCCAAACCAGAGGCCCCTCCTGTCACCAGACCCACCATACCCTGTCAAATTGTCAAAATGCCTGTTTTTGGGGTGTATCCTCTTAAGTGCAGTCTTAAATGAGTTAATAAGATTTAAAAGAACGTAAAGAGCAGGCAGAAAATCCGATATGTGTCAGATCAATATCATGTTCGTTAAATCTTAAAGTGACAGGGGCCTAATATACCTGCTGCAGCCTGTGTCACTAATGTTAATCAAAGAACAGAAGAAAAGGAGAAAATAACTTGCTACTGAATAAACTTTGTTGCTTTAATAAGGATTTCGTTATATATAATTATTTATACAGTGAAAATAATGCAGTGTATAAAAATTGATTTGAAAATTGTGACTGATATGTGAAATGCTGGTGACATAACCATATTTAATTATAAAAAATACAATGTTGCATGTGTCAAAAACAATAACTTTTACTCATTTCATCCCCAAAAATAAAGAGAAAATCAGTAGCAGTATTTGTATCGGTGATACTGGCCTTAATTCATAGTACCTAGAAGAAATATGCCATTAAACTAATTTGTAAAATATATCTTTATGTTGTTTGTACATTCATTTGGAGATTCAATGAGAATTTTGTATTACAATATAAAAAATATATTACAAATTTAAATGTTAAGTGCCATTAATTACAGAAAAGAGAGCAATTTTAATCGGTGGATACTAGAAAGGCAGACGCAAGGGAAAGAAAGATTAACAACCTGCATTGAGCTTGGTGATGTTTCAGTATACTACAAACACAATACAGTCATGGTTCAACAGTAATATACGGCACCTTATTTTGAGGACTGATACAATGGAACAAATAAGAGCAAAGCTGGATAATCGCCATTGTTTCAAATATTTACCTGTCTATCAGTCAAACTCAACTGCACTGAAGTTCCATTCAACTAAAGTTAGCAGTGAGGCTAGAACTTCAAAATACTGTGAAAAGATGTGAAATACAACCATATAACGACGCAAAAATTCACACGAGTAGCAAAGCAACCTTGACAATTTGAATTACAGGACAGAAGACATTTTTGAGACTGTACATTTCTGTTAATTCATTCAATTTCTCTCTCACCTTGACATTTCTGATGTTCGCCATATTTACACGCTGCTGCAACTGCTTGGGTACCAGCGGTGACGTCAACACGCGACGTAAGATCCCTTGCTTCAGACCAATCAGAAATACGGAGATGATGACACCCTTTAACGCGATTGGCTGCAGTTCATTTGATTGACATCTTCACATGAAGTCGCGCGCCAGTCATTCATATTTTAAGTGCTCGACGCATTTGATTCGCTAAAGGTAGTCTCGTTAACTGAGACGAGATGAGACACAAATGAGACTATTCAGTTTACTTTTATAAATTACAGCAGTTGCACAAATAATGATAATAACATAAATAATCAAAATTGAACGCAAATGCATGAGCCGACTGATCAATTGCATAACAAACAGATACAAACAAACATATTGGATAATGACGATAGTGCAGTCCGATTTCTGACCACCAATTTACACCTCTGTAACCATTAAATAAAGACTGCGTGAAATAAATTAAGACCTTCAGTTATTACCATCAATATTTTTATTAGGGGGTTAAGTCACCATGAAATCAAAACTCACAATTCTTTTTTTTTTTATGGAAATGCAGTATTTATTATAAATGATTCATCCGTGCACATCATTATTTTTTAAATTCATATTAGGGAAGAAAAACTATCACAACTTCCGTTTCATGCCGACTTTAAGGTATTGTGAAGTTTGTACAGTGAGACAATCACCAACTCTCCACAATTTAAACTCTCAGAAGAAAGCACACAGTACAAAGATACGTAAATTCAGCTATCCACAAATGAAGGACCATCATTGGTGCATCTGATGTGAGGGAGCAGCTGTGAGAAAGACAGTAGGCTGTATAGTTATCTCCCAGATCTGGTGTGATCCCAAACTATACAAACTACTACCTCATTCCACAGCCCCCATGCAGCAGCTCCTCTGTCTGAAACCCTGCGGGAGGAGACAGAAGGCAGAAAGACATGTTAGCGCTACAAATAAATAGCTTATTTGTGCTATTTATATTCTAAATTTAATGAACTATCTTTTCCACTGCTAATGTGATTTTCATAAATCCCACAGTGAAGGTTGTCATCATCATCCTTTAACCCCTAGCTCAAACATCCACACCATGGAGTGTGGGCAGACTTCTGGCATTTTTCTTTTGAAATATGAGTCATGATATATCATGAACAACAAAGAGATTACACAAAATGGATCAGGATCTGGTGCTCCGCAGCATTTGATGATTATTCTTGCCACTTATATGTGCTTAGAGAGCAATGGCAAAAAATAATGAATACCGCTTATTAAATAATGTTATGCTTTATAATGTTGTTATTATGCATTATATATTTTCATAATTGTATATTTCACAAAATAATATTTCACTGTATGACTCCAACCCTTGTTATAATATGCATTATGCACCGTATTAGTAAAGATAATGCAATAGCAGTGTCTAGATGTATTAGGACTGGTCCTTGAGTGAAATTAAGCAATGAATCAACCCATATGGAAGATTTTATTGCCACATACAATACAGCATAGCATAGACGCACATACACAGTAGTCAGTAGCCATTATTAATATCCCTGCTGGAAAATCCAGCTTAAGCTGGAGGCTACATTTTGACATGGTAGCTTGTTTCTTAACTCTGTTTGTTGCTGGTCCATGATGATCAGCTAGAATCAAACTGTCATGCTCCAAAGCAAACTCATCTAACGTTGCCATCTTAAACTGGATTTTCCAGCAGGGATGTGATTCCCAGCCATGCACATTTCAAGAGAGCATCAAAATAAACTGCATGTAAACGGAATGTTAGAGGTGATGATGACTGTTCTGGTAACGTTATACAGGTATTATTATTATTGCAAACCATCTATCCTAGCTCAGTACTTGTGTCTTAGCAATTAACAGCTGGCAGAGGCTTAATAATGCATGTCAGTCTGGTGTGTTTGAATCACATCAGTGTTTGATCGGTTGATCTGATCGGTAGACTGTCTGGCCGCCAGATTAACTTTATCATGACAAGCAGAGACACGCGTGCGATTATCAGTGTTTTATCTAGAAAATTCAGCTTTACAAATCAGATCGACACCCTAACTAGACTGACTTACCGCTTGAAATGGAGCATTTTGTCAGCTATTTTTTTCAGTGAATATTGTAGATCTGCATGCATGATCTACTTGCCTTTCACATGCTATTAAGATGATCATATACTCTGAATATTAGTAAAGCTAGCTATCAAATACGAAAAATGGCGGTTGCCTCACTAGTGCCCCCGGTTTGATAATCAATAAATTGCATGATAAAATAACCCTAGTCATTATATTAAACGGAAATGTGTCCATGCAGATGTAAGACAGAATGTAAATTGCTAGGCCCGTGTTCGCAGTGACTGCGGCAATGACAATTTAAAGAAGGAACGTGGTGTTTCGCTCACCTGAGATCACGACTGTACATGATACCGCCATCTTACATCAGCACAAGAGCAGAGTGAGAGACACACTAGCTGCAGGCGCGCAGATCTACCCCTGAGGTGACATGCCCCTTGAGTGATGTGATCCGATCCGCCGTCCTCTCAGTTCACGATTAAGTCATTTAATGGACTACAAAGTGTGCAATTAACAACTAATGGTTGTCAAATGTCACAACTTGCACGAAAGAAAATGCTACTTGTTGCCATTTCACGAGGAAGGTTGCTTTTCCATCTTGAAATGGTGATTTAGTCGTTAAAAGTAGCCTACATTTTAAACATATCAAAGTGTTTAAATGTTAATACATGGGACTTTCTCAAGCTAAATAAAAAAAAAATCGTTTTCGAATATGAGCTGCGTTATACTGTTCATTTTTTTGTGTGCTCCAGGTCATGACATTACAAGAGGTTTAGTAAAAAAGGAACATAATATTACTACAAATCCAAAAATAAAGTTAATAAGGTCAAAAGATTTATAGCAAAAAGATCTTGGAGATAAATTATCATTTTATTCATTTTAATACTTTTTAGTAATACATTTAGAAATTTTATAAGTAACACTTCACAATAATGCAAATGAGCTTGATAAAAACAGTAACATTAGCATCATTACGCCAGTCTTCAGTGTCACATGATCCTTCAGAAATCATTCGAATTTGCTGATTTGGTGCTCAAGAAACATTTCTTCTTATTAGTTGAAGAGTTATGCTGCTTTAAAAATTGAAATCTTCATTTCCCCAAACTGCAGAGCCTAATAAATGCTGTACAATTTTTCATCATCAGTTCATGATACCTAATTAACCAATGTTAACCACTTTAATCTAGTACGAGTGTTAACCTTTCATTTAGAACATGGCAGTATAGCAGCGGGTTCTTCTAGTAGAGTCGTTTACAAAATGACAAAACAGGAAAATAAAAACCCAAACTCCTTTTTACTAAAAGAATAAATTTTATTTCAGCACTGTAAGTCATTTCCCAACCATACAAACATGACTGCCAACTTTGACTTTCTCTCTCTCTCTCCCTCTCTCTCTTTCTTTGAGCCTTTTGGCTTTCTCCCCAATCCATTGTGAAATCAGACCACAACAGCAAGACAAATTAAAAAGAAAAGTTTCTTTCCAAAACAATCAGGTGCTTTCTTTATACTAAAAATAAGAAATTGTTAATAACGATCATAACCATAACAGCAATAATAATAATGAACTTTACCCTTCACTTCACAAGTTTTTTGGAGCTTTTGGAGATCTTGATGCATGCATCAATGCGATTGTGTTGATGAGCGGATCAGTTTTCCAAGCACAAACGACAGAATGTGTTGCCTACAAATGGATGTGTTGAGTTGACGTTGAGTCTTGGGGGCACATGCTATAAAGCAATGGGGACAAGATATATAGGCTACTACATACTTCTAGAAAATGTAGGATGTCAGTGGGCCACTGTACACAACACATTGCTGTTATCAGACTAGGATTGAAACCACACCAGTGGTCCTGTGGAGTGAAGGGCTACAGAGCCAGGATACAGGGGAAACAGTTATAAAGCAAGAGTCAGATCTGAGGTCCAGACACAAATCTACAGGAATGCACAGGCAAAACTCTTTACCAAAATAGCTGTGTGTGTGTGTGTGTGTGTGCGCGCGCATGTGTGCATGGTTACAGTATGTGTTCACACTTAACCTATCCATGACTACATTGAAGCTACATTTTTCAGAGGGACAACACATGTGCATGGGAGCTAAAGTGTTCTAGGGTTAATCGCTATGCTCCACTTGAGAGGAAAAAAGAAATTTTATTTTAGCAATGAAACTGGACGATACAAGATTTAGCCACTTTTCACCAAAAGATGTAAACATCACATTTTTCTTCATTTAGAATCGGATTACGGACCCTTTACGTACTCTAATATCTCAATTACTGAAAACACGTAGCTGTATAATCATATATACAGGATCCAGAAAGAGAATCAAGACTGTTAACTATATACTGGAAGTAGTTTCCAGAAATTTACTTTGGTTGAAAATTAATGTTGCACAGATGTATATTAGTCTGCTTTGTGTGCAAGGAAGCAAAATTAGATTTACTCAAAATAATTCAGCTTTTACATGTAACAATTTTAAAGAGACTGAAAAATCAATGCTTAAAACAAAGTAATGGGTTATTTACGCAAGTGACAAATTACATCATGATGGTGAAGTGGTTTGAAACGATATTATACAAAATAGAGGTGAGGAAAATTGCAATCATTACACTTGAAAAATATCTAGTTATCTCCGCTAAGCAAATTTTAATACTAAATGTAGCAACGGTCAAAGGAGTAGCTGTTGTAATAATTTTTTTTTTTTTTAAGTAAGAAAAACACAATTTCACAACTGAAAGAAACCAAAGATGGTAAGGTTAAATTTCTCAGTTCACTGTTGAAAATGTTACCAACTCTCGTTTAAGATTACTTACAGACAGATTATTAGACTAATTATAAAAGTTAAAATCTCTCACTGTTAGTATGAAGACTGCAGGGGAAACAAAGGCAAGAATAAAAATCAACAGAGACCAGAATTAAGAGGGAAAACATTTGAAAGTGTATACGGCCCAAAACTGTGGGGAAAAAAAAGAAGGAAAAAACATATGGGGATC